GCCCCTGGAGGGTGACTACCTCACAGGTGTTTGTTGTGGATGAATATTGATGTTGTTGTGGATGATGTCATCCTGATCTTAATCCTGACATTAAAACCTAATCCCGAATCTAAAACTGCAACAAAATCCGATGAGTTAGTCAAGGCCAGCTGTGAATTTGATGTCATCATGATGTTACTAAAATTACACAAAGACATTGTAGTATGGCTCAATTTCCATATAAATTATTCCAAAATTTAATCTCCAGTCCTTACCTTAAAACCAACTCTAGTTCTATTGGTTACCCTGACTAATTCTAGTAATTATCCTTTCGGCACAAAGTTATATGGAACGAGACCCATGATTATACAAGCAAAAGGAGGGAAAACATTTGGGAAAACAAATGGTTCCTTGCTATTTCTCAAATGGCAAGGTATAACATTTCTTCTCCAGATAATTTGAGCGAAGTTTGCAAAATATAATCACATAATTACTGTGTGGTGCAAAGAAGTTGACATTCTGGTTAAAAGTTTCAATAGAATATTTACAAATTTTACCATTGATACTTAAATGCTTAAATTCTTTCAGTACTTCATTGTCTTTTTAATGCATGTTCTATTGCGTTAATCGGGAATGAGAGTTTGTCTGCTTACTTGAGATGCCTCACCAGTATTGAACTGTTTGAGAATGCCAAATACTATGCTATGCTAACCACTCTAAACTACACTTAAAAATGCCTTTGCCATGGGTGTATCTGATGCAGCTCTTACTTTTTTCGACAATTGTAATGAAATGCAGCAGTTTTAGAAGAAGCAAAGGAAACTGCAAAAAATTACACGTTCTCATCCATGGTGTGCATGTTTGCCTTGCCCACAGTAATTCAGTGTGCCATTCAGTCATTCTACCCACTCACCAATGATACTGTAGCGAAAGAAAGTTGGGATTCCTTGATTATCTTGATGGCAGTGCAATTGAATATGTCCATATCTTTCATTGTGCTGCGATGCCACCGTCTTATTTGGTTGATCGAAGAATTCTATCTACCAAAAATCATTTTGTTACCTTGTGCAAACCAGTTAAAGCACTTCAGCCACGAGACCATTATTTTAAAGCACACCTTCCAACCTTATTGAAGTCTGCGATGCCAGTTCATCCTAAAGTTCCTCCTACAGTTTCTCCTAAAGTTTCTACTAAAGTTATTTCTGCTCCTTCCTCTACACAAGTGACTACATTTACTAAAAAGCAGACGACTGGTCCAAAAAGAAAACAAATTGGCTTAGATCGGTGCGCTTCTTGTGAAACGAGCGTGCAACACACAAGAAACTGTAGATAACAGTGAAATCAAATTTCCCAGCACTAGTAAAGGAATTTCATCTGTAACTCCCAACACTGGTCCTACTTCAGAAAAATCTAACACCAAAACACAACGAACTTCCACCAATTCGTGGCCAGATGATATCTACAACTACGTAAATCTGGTGTCCAGTCTTCCTGATTCGAAAAAGTACGAAATTCTGTGCAATCATTGCCATTGGAAACCTGGTTCTGATTTTTCTTTTCCTCCACGCGAAAATATTGGTAGACGTTTCCGGTTGGCATAGTTATCACAATTTCCAAGGTTGGCTTACTCTGCTGTGGCAAACGGTGGTTTTTGCGTCACTTGTGTTCTTTTTGGCAGTGAAAGCACGCATAATGCAAGCGAGCTCTAACTATTGATGACCAGTGCTCTTCCTCCAAGTGCTTCTGCTGTCCAGAGACTATGTCAGCATGGTGAAAAATCCAATGTTCACGCAACGGCAACTTTCCGTGCTACACAGTTTAAGCGAATGATCGAGAATAAGACACTTGCTATCGATGCATGTGCAGCTGAAAAAACCCACCCCGTAAAAGACCTGCGTTGCAACTGAAACGCCAAGATGATTGAGTTCGATGTACAGCCCTAATTGGATATTTTTTGCTACGAAGAACCTGAAATACACAGGAACAGTACATGCGGTACATAGTTGTGGTTTTATGTAAGTACAGTGATTTTGTAACATTCTAATGTTGTAACGTTGAAGAACATGGTATGCTGTTTAAATATTTGACATATTTAGTGCGTTTCGTTATTTGCTCTCTAAAATATGGCGAAATTAATGACGAATTATATGATAGAATTCGATGCTCAGAACTCGGGAAATGGCATTTCCGGGGTTCAAATTTCAAAAATTTTCCGGGGGGGAATGCCCCCGGACCCCCCTAATTATTGACGGTTTTGGAGTGAGCCACGGTCAGGGTTTAGGCTGGATCCGCGCCTGTTAATGACTGTTCCAACTATGTTTTAACTCAAACGGAATACATGATAGTGTTGGGAAAACATTAAGAGCGGCTATGCTCTCATCAGATCTGGCCAGGAAGTATATTTCAGACCAAGAAGTATTGATTTCTCTTCCGGGCAGCAAAATCGAAAAATAATTCCTGAGCGAGTCAATAGTAAAACATCCTGCATATGTACATTCCATGCAGAGAATATCTGATACCGCGCACAGTGTGATTAACTTCAATTTCGGCATAAGAGAATCTCGGCTTGCAAAATGCTTATAATTAAACATTAAGTAAATGATAGAGCATTCCAGTATATAATATGGTAAGATAATAAAAAATATAAGAAAATATTTTGTTAAAATTTCCTAGTGGCTGACTTTACTAGTAAACTGTTGTTCAGTTTAAGGGCATTAGATGCCCAAAACCATAATATACAGATAAAAAGCGTACCTTTAGAAATCATCTTTTTGTTGTAAACACCCAAACACCATTACCGTCTGGGAGTTTAGAATTAGAATGCATTGTATAATCGTACGAGTATACTGTGCGGGTACGATACCAAAAACTTTTAAATAACCTGCATAAAATTCGATTCAAATATTGTGTTTCCGTACCCATGGCTAGGACTCGGGCATTCAAATTATATCCGCAAAGGTCGTAAGTTCGATTCCCACCGTGGCCAGGCATATTTTTCAAGCTTGTCCGGGGTGGATATACACTCAGAGTAACATCACAAACATCATATTCACCTGAGTACATTACACCAACACAGAAACAAATCATGATTACTACTAGATTACATTGATATCGAAGGAACTAGACTCAGTTTCGAAATATCACATACTCGAACCGACTTGACCGCGTAGCTCAGTTGGCAGAGCATTGGGCTAGTATTCCAAAGGTCGTAGGTTCGATTCCCACCGTGGCCAGGCATATTTTTCAAGCTTGTCCGGTGTGGATATACACTCAGAGCAACAACACAAACATCATATTCACCTGAGTACATAACACCAATTGAATTCAACTGGAAGCCTCTGAGCGAACGCAGAACCCAGTTTGTGGCAAGTCTTATGTATAAAATTACTCATGATCTAGCGCCCTTACGACTTACTGATATTTTTCAAAAGACGTCTTCCTCCCAGCACTACAATTTGCGGGGCTCTTCCACTAAACTCCATTTGCCCAAGCCTAAGACTGAATATCTTAAAAAAAGTCTTAGCTATATAGAGGGGCTAAACTGTGGAATAGTCTCCCAAATGAATTAAGAGGAAAAGAATCACTAGCTATATTCAACAAAAACGTACGACACCTGGCTACTAATTAGAGTTTTCAAATCCATATTTACCTTGAATATTTAATCTATTAATATTTACTATAACCTATTTAATTATGTGTGTAATTGTATTAACTGCATGTAAGTAACTGTATTTGTATGTTTAATTTTTCTAAATTTTTAATCGGTAAATTTGAATTTAATGCTAAGCCCCCCTTGGAAATCAGCTTTTGCTGTAGGGGTTAGCGTAGTAAAATAAAGTTTTACCTACCTACCTACCAACACAGAAAAAAATAACAATAAGGACTATAGTCTGTAAAGGTGAGTTTCTAAAGGTCACACTCTGTATATCCTACTGTACACATGAAGAATCATGCTGATTTACCGCGCATAAACTTTAAATAAGTTTAATTTTCTCGCCAAATATCATTTATTTGATTTATTTTAAATTGTCGAAGAATACGAATGTTCTCCTCATCGAGACGTTATATAAAGGTTTATGGGGGCATAAAATGGAATCGTGGAGTCTCGTTAAAATCGAATCTTTAGTTTAGGCAAAATAAACATTTTTTGACAGACTCCGTACCCTGTACTCCGCACTCCGTCTTTTCCACCATGCCCTTTATGTCAAGAAGGATTTGTGCATCTCACTGGAAAGAACCAACTGTTGAAAGGTTGTTGAAAGGTTTTTGTTGATAGATGTATAAGTGAAAGATGCTGTATTAAAAGTCCGTTCTGCACGCGCATCAGTTCTGCTCTTTACAAAGGGGGACTACATCGTCTATATCAGGCATACAACCTCTCGCAGTCTCGCTTTTGGCTATCTAACACTTTTCTGGTTCGCTATGCTTGTAAATGAATATAAACTCTACGTTTCAATTCAAAAAAGTTCGAAAGATGCAAAATTTGGATGTTTGTATCTGCGAGTACCCCTTTGTTATGAGCAGAACTGATGCGCAGAACGGACTTTACAACATCTTGAACTTATACTGATCCATCAACAAAAACCTTTCAACAACCTTTCAACAGTTAGTTCTTTCGAGAGATGCCAAAATCCTTCTCAATATAATTAGGGCATGGTGGAAGCGACGGAGTACGGAGTCTGTAAAAAATTGTTTGTTTTGCCTAAAGGTTCGATTTTAACGAGACTCTGCTTTATGTCGCCATTAAAATAATTGATGATAAAAGAAATACAGTATTTCTTTTAAATTTTCTAATTTTTATTTCTTTGAGTTTTGTCCCATGAGTACAAGACCGTGTGTTCTTACCCAACCATTAATTCAAAGCAATTAGAGCTGTCAAATTACTACAATATTCGTTATAGCTAAGTTGAATTTGAAAGGGTTCAGTTTTTTTTATACACACTGTATATAGATCTTTAAAAGGTCTCTAATATTTTTTATATTAGCATACTAAATCTACAAACGAACATTTTCCTTTTATAGGTAATGTCTTCTACTTTACCTCACATAAAAAGACTTTCACTGTAACAGATGGAGTCCGTCGGAAATCGTCGCAGGATCGGGCCGGTGGCGTTCCGAAGAAATCTTATAGTTTTTTTCGTAATTTTTGGACTCATCAACGTAATACTAGTTGTACTATATCCACAAATTTTCGCTGGAGAACTTTTTGGAAGACCAAATCCTACTTTTAGCGACATCTTAAACGATACAAGATTTAGTAATCTAGACAAGATAAACTATAGAAACAGAATATTTGATGTTAAAAATGAAGGTAGAAGAGCGACAAGTAAGGCGAGTGAATTTCGGCTCGATGAAATTGGTAATTTTGACGGATCTACCCGAAGTAAAAACCTTGGGAAAGTAGCTTCTACCTTGAGTGATGTACTTGAAATATCTGGAAACGATAGCGATTTAGGTATTGGAAATATTCCACGCGATGGAGTCCCTTCAAAAACGGACTCAACATTTCGCAATTCCAACACAAAGATAATTGTATCGAAATCCACAGCAAGAAGAAATGTTTACATTCCAGCAAAAATAGAGGATACATTCAAAGGCTTGGGAGAATGGGTTGTGTATCAAAATGGACGAAGGAAGACACAGCCACAACATATTTCAACTTCTTCTGCAAGCGTTACTGTAGGGACTATGTTATCAAAAAAAGCGAAAGGAGACATAACAGAAAGAATGGGAATGAATCCTACAACTGGATCTTCTACCGAACAGACGAGGAAGACCAGCCCAATACAAAATCAAGAAAAGTTAAACACTACAAAGGCAACCACTTTGAATTCAACAACACCGTATCAAGAAGCACTTTTGAAAATGACCAACTCCACAAAAGAGAACGCCCTGACTGAAAAAATTACTGGAAAGTTAAACCCATCATTGGCAGCCACTACTTTTAAATCAACAACTGCGTTCCAACAGGATCCCATAGGAGAGCCTTCTTGCAAACCTTACGAATTATCGGCAAAATCTATCGAATACACGACAAAAAAATACGCAATTCAACCCGAAATAGCTAAATGTCAAGACCAAACAGCACCATCCAATGAGCTATGCAAAGTTAATGAAACCAAAAGAAATGATTCGTATACGAATCTCGAAATAAAATGCGACTTTTCGGTTTGCGACAAAGCTAAGGAAATGGTTATTGAATATATGAGCCACGAGAATGGTCTTATGAAAAAATACGAAATCCCAAAAAATTCAAACAATACTGAAGTCGAAAAGTTGGTGCTTAAATTTGCTGACGATGCAAGGAAACATGATTTGCCATTTCTGTTTGTAAATTGCACCGGTGCAAACGGAGCTATAGTTGCCCAAATATTAACATTCTTGCCATCGTTACCACCATTAAAGGACAACAAACATCAGAAAAAAATCAGTATTAATATTTTTCTAGTCGATTCGGTCTCCAGACCGCATTTCTACCGATCTTTTCCGAAAACAATAAACTATTTAAAAGAAATCAAGAACGATCCAACCTACCCTGCAAACGTTTTTAATTTTGAACTATTCCAAGCAGTTCACGGGCACACGAACGAAAACGAACGTGCGCTGTTTGATGGGAGCTTGTTCCCTGTGCGTTTAGGTGGAAAACGTCGAGATAAAACGGCTGTTAATTTGGACCCTCTCTATGGCGTGTTTAAAACAGCCGGATTTCAGACAATGTTCTTGGATGATCTGTGCTGGCGAGGACATTGGGGGATTATGGATAAATACAAGGTTGGAAGCTGGAAGAGTCTACAGAAGAAACTTCGTGTTTCTAATATTGACACGAGAGGTAAGGGGATATGATAAACAAAGGGATATGGCAGCATATTTTCTTATTATTTCATTTGGAAGAACTTTTAAAATTATATGTATAAATCTCCTTCACCGATTTTGCGTAACTTTATTATTTCTTGAGATATTTTGACAGAAAAAATCACAAATCAGCGAGCATTCCGCCATCTTGGCGGATATGCATGTTACGTCATAAGCAGGGTCACGCAAGTATTTTATCCAGAGGGCAATCGGTTATTATGAACTCAAAATCACACTTCGGCAATTATTTCAAATGAGAAAGTGACCGACAACTTTTCAAACAAGACTTACTGTTATTTGGTCATTTATAGATGTAATTTTATATGCCTAACCATGCTTTTGACGTCACTAAAATCACCGATGAGATAAAACATTATCCAAGATGGAGGACAGCTAATTATTTTAATAATTTCAAAAACTACGGCTATAGCCCAAAGGTGGAAAATGTTTTTTCTTTCTGTGAACCTGGGTTTCAGTGCTCAAACTTTTTCTGCAAAATATTAGGATATAATATTAGGAACTGTCTTTTTTCATTATATGAAGCAATATATCTTTAAGACTGATAAGGTATACACGATAAATCCTGGGTAATTTTCAGAATTAGCTATGAAACATAAAAAAATGTCTGAAAATTCAGCAAAAATGTAAACCCTCCAAAAATTTCTGGAAACTAGTTTCCCTGGTTCTAATACTATTCCCACCTCTGGGCTAGCCAACACACGCTAATAAATTTATTATTTTTTAGGTATCTCCGAATCATCCTGCACCATACTAAACCGCAACCACATGAGATTACCTTTCTATGCAGGAGTCAGACACCAGATTTGCTTCAATGCCAGACATCAACACGAGTACATCCTAGACTACATTACCAAATATCTCGACGCCATAGCTCACACCCCACAAAGTAAACCGTTATTCTCATACACGTCAACACACATATCCCATGACAACGTTGGAATACGCGTACAAACACTGGACGTCCACCTTAAAGATTTCATCCAAAAGATGTCCACAAAGGAGAATACGCTTAGTATAATTTTTGCCGACCATGGTAATACATACACTGGGTACCAGGCTTACGCGGACGGGAAACAGGAAATGTATCATCCGTTTATGTTGATAGTTGTGCCGAAGAAGATGGCGCGAAAGTTTGGAGGGCGAGTGTTGAGAAATTTGCACGAGAATCAAAGGCGCTTGTTTAATTTGTTTGATGTAAGAGAGGGACTGGTGGAACTTTCCAGGTGGGTAGTTTGATTTCGTTGGTGGTGGTGATAGTGTTGGTGATGACGATGATGATGACAATAATGATATCGATGATGATGATAACGATAATTATGATGATAACGATGATGATGATGATAACGATAATGATTATGACAAAGGGGATGATGACGATGATGATGACGATGATGATGATGGTGAGAGTGATGATAACGATAACGATGATGATGACGATGGAGATGATGACGTTGATGATGACGATGATGACGATAAGGATTATGACAAAGGGGATGATGACGATGATGATAGTGATAACGATAATGATGATGATGGGGATGATGATGACGTTGATGATGACGATGATGGTGACGATGATAATGACGATGACGATGACGTTGATGATGATAACGATTTGTATTTAATGAAATGTTAATCTGAGTAGCAGCTAAAAGCTGAAATATACAGAATTAATTACATGCAATATTTCAGAACATAGTAAAAGGACTCTTAATAACATATACTACATGAAAAATTTTAAAACTACGTAATAACATGTTACTACCATGCAAGTTTTAAATATCGCTAAAACGTCTAAATATTAAGATAATGAGTCATTATAAGCTAAAATACTTGAAGGTAAAAATGAGTTTCGAAATCTATTAGTTTTATAGTCAATTAAATTGACATGGTTATCATTACGAAGAGTATAATTGACTAAGTTCTCACGTCTATCAGGAACGAGTTCGTGCAACTTGTGTTTGGGGTGAAGAAGTTTTTTGAAATATGACATACATATATCATTTCTTCTTTGACTAAGTGATTGAAGTGATGATGACGCTGATGATGCTGGTTATGGTGATGACGATGATGATGATGGTAGATGATGACGATGGTAGATGATAGTGTTGGGCGTGATGATGGATGTACGGTGGTGACAATGATGTGATGGATCGGTAATGCTTCTTAGAAATAACCAATCGCGTTCATACACAACTCCCACACTCTAGGTATGACGGGCAATCACCTCTGAAACCAACAGGAATCTTTGGCAAAATCGCCCCGAATCGATCATGTGACGATCTCTTACTGACCGAGCAAAGCAAATGCATTTGCCAAGGATGGGAGACGTCTGTAGCAAACACCACAGACCAACTTGCCTTTGCCGAGTATGCCATTGGCGAAATAAACAACAAAATCCAAGCGTATCTCCTGGAATCAAGAGCTAAAGGCGTTCCCTATAACAAGTCTCGTGTCGTGTTTGGTGCGTGTCAACGGTTACGTGTTCAAAACATCAAGAACGTGAAGACGCGGAAAACGCGAGATGGGACAAAGGCAACGACGATGGACGTGAGAGTACAATCGAGCAATCTTTTGAATCAAGAGGAGCTGATAACTGTTCAGGTAGATTTGAAAATTATGGCTTTTATTCTCGCTACGGACTCATGTCCGTCAACGCTCTGCCGAAAGTCGTGGGTTTTCTAATATCACAATGGACCATTTGCATTATAGACTAAATTTTGATCTAAACAAGTCTAGACAAAAATTTCATCACAGCTTGAAAGAGCATCACAAAATTAGTAATATTCCAAAGTTTCGTTGCGAAATGTTGTAAAATGCGGATAATATAGCCTTGCGAAGTTTGTCGTTTTTCAGTCATTTTGTATTACGCACGGGAAATTGACAGCCCAATCGGGTGTTGGGGCATCAATTTCCCGTTTGTAATACAAAATGACTGAAAAGTACAAATTTCGCAAGGCTATATTATCCGCAATTTACAACATTTCGCAACGAAACTTTGGATTATTACTAATTTTGTGATGCTCTTTCAAGTTGTGATGAAATTTTTGTCTAGATCAAAATTTAGTCTATAATGCAAATGGTCCATTGTTGAAAAGATAAAATAGTCTAGGCTAATTAGGTAAGCGTAATAAGATGTAAAGCGCTAATCGTAAACTGAAGCTTGGAGGTCGTTGACTCGTTCCAGAGAACAAAAATTTTTGTGATGACTTAACGTTTGCCCTGGAGTACGTACAGTGTTTCATTTAACAAAATTAAAAAAAAGAAAGCCCGACCTACCCTACCTGTTTGCAACAAGAAATACGAAACCCAGATTTTTTTGGCCCAGCCTTGAACACCAAGAAATTAGTTGCTACAGTACACAAAATTGTGTGCTTGTTTATGGTATCCATTCTGATTTTGATTCTTTATTAGTAAATGAGCTGAAATCAAAACTTCATGATTATAAAAAAATTAGAACGTTGATTAATCAACCCTTACTGCAATTATTTGCTTCAAGTTTTGCTAATATGCGAGGCCAACACTGGACATGATGGCAAGTTAATTTTATTTTGGGCAACCAATTTTCATGTATAGCTTGCCCTAACCGCAAAAGCATAAATGGTTAAAGGTGATCTACAGTCCGATCTGCGCATGTGCACAAATGAGCCCACTTTTTATGATACAAACAGTTTAACTATGTTTTGAGTTCTTGAAAAGCCTGATTGTTGTTTCTTGATCATTTATTATACTCTAGAAGCTTGAAAATATAAATAGTTGTCGAATAAAGCTCAATATTTTGGACAAAAAAATGTAAACAAAGGCTTTGTTTACATACGGACTGTAGATCACCTTTAAGGAAAACATAAGATTAGAATGTTGATTAATCAACCCTTACTGCAATCATTTGCTTCAAGTTTTGCTAATATGCGAGGCCAACACTGGACATGACGGCAAGTGAATTTTATTTCGGGCAACCAATTTTCATGTATAGCTTGCCCTAACCGCAAAAATGGTTAAGATACACCACAGTTAGACTATGGATTGTAAAATAACTGGATAGGAAACTTCCTGACGTCACAGTTTAAACCTAGTTGCAATCTGTGACGTCGCGAGCAATGCCAAATTACTCAGCATTTTTGTTGTTTCGCTATATTTTCCGCTTTAAAAGAGTAATATTGAAGCATAAACTGGTCTAATTGTTTTAAAAACATGCCTAAGCCACGACAAAGTATTCAAGGTAAATGTTTTTCGTCTTTGTTTTGTATTTTTTACATTTGTAGCTACGAAATTGGCGTCGCCAATTTTAACGAAATTTGCGATGCATTTTTCACTGTTTAGTACTTGAAATATTTGCTAAAATTGACTGGGAATACTTGGAGATTTCATCGTAGAATGGCGTAGTTATATTTATTTGCTCTTTAACTAAAATGTTTAGCTGTATAATTGCTAAACATGCCGTTTTTGAGAATTTGGTTTGCAACTACGTTTGAACATCCAACCACGCCATCAGCCCATTGAAAACATTAGGTCACGTCAGCTAGTTTCCTATCCATTTATTTTATTACCATGGTTAGACTACAGTTATTCTGTCTTATCTATAGGTATTATCAAATGGAAATATCACAGGAACATACGACATGACACTCATATCCCAGAACAGAATATCAACCTATGGACCTTATAGAACATGTACGGATAAAGGTGTCGACGTGCTGCTATGTGTATGCAACAACCCTAAAGATCCCCAACCCCAGACCATCCTCGAGGACGTGGTCGGAGAACACTCGGAAGTTACGAAGATGCAACGATGCCTTTACAAAATACGCCGAACTTATAACGACAGTCGGAATGAGGCATTGGTCAAGGTCTATGAAATAGCAAATCTCTGCAGAAATGAGGAATTTACGGTGACATTTGAAGCTGACGGTGAGGATATTATATTGTCAACAAGAACACCAATTATTGTTAAATTGCCGCCACAGACAGCTAAGTTTATAGCGACGGCACGGACAACAGGAAATATTAAGATTATATGGTATGTAGAAGCGAAGAAATCTGCGTAGGAAAAATTAGTGGAACTTCGACCTTTCGCAACATAAGGAGAATTTATTAATATAATTTATTGAAGAATTAATATAATTTATTAAAGAATTTATTCAAATTATGTTTTGTTTTATATACGCAGTGGCGTAACGCTCATTGGGTAGGGTTAGTTAAAAAACTAAGGGCTCCCAACAGTAGGGGCCCCCATCAGCCACGGCCTATCGCCCAGAAAATTAGAAAACGTAAAAAATACAGGTTAAGAATCAAATTCAAAATTAATAATGCTAAATGATAAAACCTCCATCGACAACGGTAGCTGGTTTTTTTATTCCATCTCAAATAAAACAAAAATTATTCTTAAAAGTTGTGACATATGTTGGAGACTGTTATTGTTATAGCACGGAATTTTTCAGAACATTCTACAAATATTCAATATAAATATAATATCTCAGTCAAACAATGACAACAGTCAACAGTCAACAGCCCCCCCCCCCCTCCGTTACGTCACTGTTTATACGTTTTTAAACTGACGGCAGGCCATGCATGGCTTTTGGTTTGAACTTCAAGCTTCTTTGAAGAAAGGAAAATTTGATCAACGTTTGTGAGTCGGTATGCCGATGTCAAAAACTTTTATTGCACAAGCAACGAAGCGACTGAAAAGAACACGTGGTCTGTACGTCATATGGGTCTCGTACATGCGTAATAATCTTGTCAACAAGATGTTTTCGCACTACTTATTCCCAGTTGTTGACAAGTCTGGAACAAGTTGTTATCATCTTGTAACAAGGTTAATGAGGCCAACAGACTCGCAACAAGTTGTTCCAACAAGTCTGAAATCGTCTGTACGTAGCAAGTTAAAATTTGCAAATTTTGTATTAATTTGTATTACGCACAGGGAAATGCACCACATTTGGGCCGAAAGTGGTGTATTTTCCCGTGCGTAATACAAATGAATACAAAATTTGCAAATTTCGCAGGGCTATATTTTCCGCATTTTACAACATTTCGCAACTAAATTTTGCAATTTTACTAATTTTAACATGCTCTTTCTAACCGTGGTAATGGATTCTGTTCTTCTTGCCTGGATCAAAATTTAGTCCATACCTGGATTCAGCTATAAAATTTTCCCCAGTTCCTTTTACAAATTCCTAACTTCCTGTTACAAGTTCCTAACTTCCTGTTCTGTTATACGCGTTGTAATTGGCTAACAGAAATAATCCACCAATGACAACGCTCAAAACAGGAAGTCAGGAAATTAAAACAGGGAGTTAGGAAAATTTAAAAGGAAGTTTCTCTGTACTGAAATATTGCAACAGCCGATAGGAACATTACAAATTGCCTCAAGAGATTTACAAGCGATTTTTTTCAAATTTGCAAAGGTAATGAGGAAAATTGCATACAAGTTAGGAGCTCAATCAAAAGAAGAACGCCTTACGTAGTTTACCTGTAATACGTCAAAGTTTGCGAACTTTCTTTATTTTTATCTAAACTACCTGGAAAAGAGCGATTGCCGTTCGTCAGGCTATCAAGACAGCGTATGTTCGATGTATGCATCGTTTAACATAGTAAAGTAGTCCGCTATACGAATTGTAAGAGTACCTTCAACCAAGGATGCCATATTTGAGCCCGTCAGTTCTCCTCTGCAGCGGTCTTCATACATAATCTTGCCAACAGGCCTGACATCTGTAATAAACTGTTCACTCCTTCGACAATGCGCATGTGCGTAAAACCGATTTCCTGAAACATGGAGCATTATGGATTTTTGCACGGTTATTACAGAATTTTGCACTGTTGTTTGAGATTAACTGGAATCTGAAATCAACTGAAACCTACCAATCACAATCGAGGAATATTTGTATGTATACTATTAAGTTATAGTAATAGGATTTTACCTTGATAAATTCCAGTTTTAGAAATTCAGGCATAGTTTCAACTTTGCAAACTCGAAATACACTGGTGATGATATCTTCCGGCGAGTAACCCATTTGCCAGAGATGTTGCATTATTTTGTAAGCATCGTCTATCTTGCCTTGAGTACAATGACCGATCATCTCTTTCACTAGTAATGGATGTGGCTCATCACAGACCTACACACGTAAAAACCCACAAGTTATTACAGGTCTGCAAACAAGTTGTCACAAGGTTGTTGTCAAGCCGACATCAGGATGTGTTCGCATTGTTTGTTGCCAGTTGTTGTGACAAGTCTGGAACAAGTTGTTATCACCTCGTTGCAAAGTTGCTGACGGTAACAAACTTGCTACAAGTTGTTCTAACAAGACTAATACAGGCTGTTCATAACACGTTGCTACGAGCTTGTTTTCATCAGCTTGTTAGGCCAAAAAAAAAATATGTGGGTTTCCGGTTTCCCGACCCTACCTAGCTTTTGGACGTCGAAATCCCGACCCTAAACTTTTTTATTGGATCATGCTTGTAAGTGTTTCCACTTAGAGGAAAAAGTTTGTGGAAAATTGAAATTTGAGGTAATATTAGGGAAATTTATCTTTGGATGTGGAAGCACTGACTAAACAAAATGGCGTCCGCTTGTTCGGAAAATTAAAAAAAGAGTTTAAAAAAAGAAGTTAAAACCGACCTACCCTACCTAAGTTTTTATGAGAAGAAACCGGAAACCCACATTTTTTTTTGGCCTTAACAAATTGTTACGTGCAGCAGGGTCTTAGGGCAGGGCCGTGTTGGCTGTGTTATCAGCAGGGCCGTGTTGGCCGTGTTATCGCGGCCGAAAGCGGAAAAACACGGCTAGATAAAATGAACGCGGCTTCACTATCTATATAAGGCCGTGTAGGTTCATAAAATAAGGTGGTGCTACTTACAACAGACAGAATTTCTTCCTATTTACGTCGTAAGAAAGTTTGTAAAATCTACTGTTATTGTTGAATTGGCAAAAGTGATTCGTGATGTTTTAATATTTTGATGGATAATGGGAACTGTATGGTGTTAAAATGGTTTTAAATACCCCCAAGAGTTGCAAAGCATAGAACAACCACAAACATTATTGTTGGCGAGCATACCTAGACTCGTGATTTTGCTATTCAAGGTAATTGACATGTGCACACCCTGGTCATTAGAAATACGCCCAAGATCTAAAATCCTAGCTAAGACCCTGACGTGCAGACGATATGAAACTTGTTGGAACAACTTGCTGCGAATCTGTTGGCCTCGTCAACCTTGTTACAAGATGACAACAACTTGTTCCAGATTTGTCAACAACTGGGAACAAGCAATACGAACACATCTTGTTGACAAGCTGGGAGACTTTTTATGTCAAATTTGTCTACACACGTAAAAACGCACAAGTTGTTACAGCTCTGCAAACAAGTTGTTACAAATCTGGTCCCAAGCTGTCAACAAGTTGTGTTCGCACTGCTTGTTCCCAGTTGTTGTAACAAGTTTGGAACAAGCTGTTAACAACTTGCAACAAGCTTGATGACATTATCAGACTTGTTACAAGGCTGTTCTAACAAGTTTGGTACAGTCATGATATAAGAAGAATGGTATACAAGGTTGACGACACAAGGTTGTAACAATATTGTTATATCATTGTTAACATTATAACAATACTTATTGGAACAATCAACAAGTTTGATAATATCAAGGAAATCAGCTTTAGCAGAACATGCGTGTGACACCAAACACGAGATTGCGTGGAAAAATTCTAAAGTTATTACCACAAACAATCGCTTGGTCAAAGACGATGCCTAGAAGCAGGCATATAAATATGAGTAATCATGCTTTGAATAGGGATGACGGTGCTTATTTGCCAGAGAAATACATGCATCTAATTGGCAGATGAGGTCATCCCTTGGGTATTTAAGAAGCCACGATTGCAACTTTAGATCACCCCTGATGAAGACACTAGACTGGAGTGTCGAAACGGTGGGTCTTGATTACAATTCGACTGGGCTTTGTATTCATTTCTATATAAACCAGAGTAGCGAGCGAAAACATGATCAACAAGTTTGTTACAAGATATTGTACTCAGGTGAATAAGATGCTTGTGATGTTACTCTGAGAGTATATCCACACCGGGCAGGCTTGAAAAATATGCCTGGCCACGGTGGGAATCGAACTTACGACCTTTGGAATACTAGCCCAATGCTCTGCCAACTGAG